CTAGTGCTTAGTGCTATGTCTACACCTGCAAAACCCCGAGAGATAGCTATCGAATCTCCAGAAACTCGGAGTGTGAACTTTACGGATTCACCAGATTGGCTGGGAGAGGTTAGGTGAATAACCGCACTTGGGTCCTGTATGCGTGTCTCACAATCACAGCACACATCCATGGCCTGAGTTGCTAGAGTCTTTGTCAACGAGGCCTGTTGACCAACTTGACGGAGGGTGCGGACATTGAAGGCTTCAGTATGTGATTTGGAGCTTGGTTTAAGGAGACCAGTGATGCTGTTCTGTGGACTCAGATCGTTGTCGAAAGCTGGAGAGGTAGGAGAAATTGAAGATGATTTGGTATCGTTAATTGAGAGACATGAAGGGAGATTAGAAGGTAATGATGGAGGAGGTGGATAGCGGTGTGAGGGAATTTGAGTGCTGACAGAGTTGTGAGGGCGGTTGACACTTCCCGGCTGCCCACACTGTGGAAGGCTATTTCTTCTTAAGGTACCTGAAAGAGATTTGTGTGAGCGCAGAGCCCATCGGACATCTGCTTGAGGCCTGTCACGTAGCCCTTTGTGTATGCTTGTTTTGAACTTTTGTATTTTTGGTGCTGGATGGTCGAAAGGAAACGACAAGTGAACCAACACTGCCGGCCCGTCAGACCGTGGGTTATGGTGGAGTGTGTTATTTTTGGGGCCGACCTTTTCTAACCCCCTCCCCCTCCCATTGCGAAGACAGCATCAGCACGGCACTGCTGGTCATGCAAGGGAAACACCTTACTGCTGTCACACCCCATCCAGCTAGCAGCAGTACAACTTCTCCCTCAGACCCTCATCATAGTGTAGCAATTTACACTATAACGGTAACTGCTTTTCGTCTTACGATTATCCAAGAGACCTTTCTGGTATGGTATGTCCTCCCTGGGAGGAAGCGTTCCACCAGCATAGCTCGTTGAGTGATTGTGATATGCAAGCCCGACCACGACGTCAAGGTAGTAGCTATCGGTCGGGAACCACTCCTTAAGTGTACGGTTATTCCGTTCTGTCAGCCTTTAGCCCGTGGGTGGTACGATGTCCTTCTTATTCTCTTGATGTCGAGCTGCTCCAAACAGGATTTGAATTCTTCACTCTCAAAACCATGACCTTGGTCGGTCAACATCATCTTCGGCACACCGTGATTCGCAAAAATATGCCGCATCACAGCCGTGGTCACTATCTTTGCACGTTGGTCGCGAATCTCGAGAGCGTCTACCCATCGTGCAGTATGCTCCGTCATAACCAATAGGTGTTGGTTTCCTTTTGGTGTCCGCCGAAATGGTCCCATTACGTCCACAGACCACAGGTCACCACCTACTGCTATGGAATCGTTTGAAGCGGCGGTCGTATATACCGATCACATTTCATCTACTGACAATGTGGAAATACTAACAATCAGACTATTTTAAAGCGACTTGATGGCTACTCCCATCATCATAGTGAGCGCAATGAGTACTATAGATTTTGTCTTTTATGGTTGATCGTATTGGGGGCTAGTAAATTCTTTAGTGTTATTTCTGTTTGTCTTATTTTAGGGTCTAATAGTTAGTGTTTGAGATAGAACCTGTTAGCGTAATGAAAAGTCATACTACAATAGCACAATACGAGTTTATAATCTCAAAAAAGAGAACCATAAGTAACGGGTCCATGAAATTTGATTCATAAGTTTTACTTTGTGATTTCGAAAGTTGGTCTACATGGTGTAAAACGTTTCAAAGATTCTATTTCAGTTTTGGGTTTTTTGAGACTGGTTGATTTCAAGGTAATGAGTGCGCACTACTAAGGAGTGTCATGATTGAAGAAAACAGCTATCCAGTCCTCCCATATTTCTGACGGTTCTACAACTGATATCATTTCTGGATGAACACCACCTTGAAGTCAATTAATCCCTGCGAACCCCCAAACTGAAATGCTGTCCAGTGCTAATTAGTGGGATGTTTTGAGATAAGATGTCACGAAATCTTAATAAAAGTCTCTATATATCGCGAACTTACTGAACTAAAAACATGTAAACTAGTGAGCTGCCATACAGTAGCTAAATGGTTAACGTGCTCGCCTTGGAGACCTGACTGCGCTGGGTTCGGTCCCTGGGAGGGTCACCGGTGCGCGCTGCCGAGGAGTCCGATACTAGGACGAAACAAATGTCTAGAGCTCCCAGGTTTTCAATGGTTCTGCAACTTATGTCGGTTCATAATGAATACTACCTTGATTTTAGAGGTAGTAGGTACCTATATTTGTGAGTTGTTTTGGGTTTGTCAGGAATTTGTTAAGACAAGAGAGAAAAATTCAGTTTGCACTAATGAGGCATCCCATGTCAAATTATTTCCGCTGTTTTTCTTGCCACGGATAGTAATTACTAGAGAGAGATAATCTCTACCTATCTTCATTGCTTATGTAGAATGAAGAATTGACTAGGCATTGAATTTACTAAATTGCAATATTAGACTTTGCTTGAGTAGACTAATTCGGATAAGAGTTGTCGATATTCGAAATGCTTTCACTTTGATTGAACAGGTAACAGCCTCTTTGCAGATGATGTGAAGTATGTTGGTGGAACTGCCTCAAACATGTATTGCGAGTGCTATTCTGAGGTTTATGTCAAGAAAATTGCTGTTCGGCGTCAGGATTCTTTAGTCGCTTATTATGGGCCTATAGAATGTTTGTATCCGCCTGATCTGCAAAGCAAAACACTAAGTAAGATGTAGTCTGAAGCTTCGAGTCAAGTAATTACAATTTGATAAAATATCTGTGGTACACTTTCTTGCAGAAAATGATGTCCCTCACTAAAGTGTAAATCAGTTTGAATGTTACGAAAAGCCAATTCAGTGTTGATAATGTTTATGTGGTTACTTAATAGCCAATTAACAGGTACTAGCAACTCAGTAGCCTGAATAATTGCTTGCAAGGTATCTTGTTGACAAATGAGTTTCGATATCGATTTTCTTTATTTGCTTTTATGCTTATATTAAAGATTGTAACAGCCTAATGAGTTCCATGTGCACATTGTTTAATCTACTTTTCTTCCAGGTCGTTTTTGTGTAGATAGCCTGTAATTCATACTGGCCATTTTATGTCACCAGCTGGTTTCCCTACAACAATACTTCCTGACCATCTGTTAACTCGAATTTAATAATGTCAAGAAAACATTTTGCTTCTAAAGAAAAAGTATTTTTTCTCTAAGAAATTTTACTCCTACAGTTGTTTAACCTGTTGAAAGAGTTCCAAGCCCAATTTGATTCTCCGTTTCGGCTTTCTGAAGCGACTAGATGGTGTGAAAGCTATTTTAAGCGTGAAGGTGGCAATATTGAAGCTGTTGGTGTGTTTTTGGACTTCATCTTGAGCTTGGGTTTCATATATTTGGTTGACCAAAATATTTTTTTCTCTAGATACTGGTAAGTCTTTGTTTTTTTGACACTTTTAGCTTCAATGTGGAAAAAATTAACGAGTTCTTTTGTACTTTTTCGGAATCGATAGATGTTAAACATACGGAAGGTCAGTTTCATATGTTAAAAAAAATTGTATCTAATTGTATGTGAATTATTCAGTCGAATATTTCTTACCAGTTTTTGTCATACTCAATGGAAGCTAATTGGCCTTACTGATTTCTTGATTTATGCTTTGAAATGTTTATTTCGGGCCATTGCGATGCTTCTTTCAGTTCAGAGAAGCAGGTGTTCTTTAATGAATCATTGAAAATATGAGGAATGTTGCGCTAACCAGCACTTATGAATACTCCGAAAGAGCAATACTTTTTGAGATTCAGATCAACATTAGTTTAGAAGGGGCTACACAAAAACACTAACCGTAAGGTTTCTTGTTAGGCGATCACAATAAGATCATTAGGGTTGTAAGTTTTGATTCAAGTTGACTAACGTAACTTAGTAACCTGGCTCCATTTGCTCTTTATCTTTAGATCATTGACTTTACGTACTTAAAGTCGACATTGCTCTTCCTTGCTTTTTCATCGTTTTCCATGGCTTTACCTCTAGCTTTGCGTAGTGTTGTACATTGAATCATTTCAAATTCGCCACTTCAATTTAAGCTATCAGAGTCATCATCATCAAAGAATTGACTTAGAATGCCACCGTATTAATTCCTTCATTGAAAAACAAATCGCATGCATCTCTATTTTTCTCTGCATCTCCAACAGAACAACCAATTCCTGATACTTTTATGGTAACTTTCTGCGAGAAAAGCAAGCAGAATGTCCCTTAATCTTAAGCAACGGTTTACGTACTCACAGAAGTAAATGATTGGTTTCTCCTGTTTCTTTTGTAGGTAAAAGTGGGCAGAAAAATTGTCAGATGTCGCGTAATCAGTTTCCTGGAGGTTCCCAAGAAGAGGTTTCGGCTAAATTCTTTAAGGAGCTTGAAGCTGGCTGTCATGAATCGGTTTTAACTAATGCAAGGTCTCATCTGTGGTTTGAAGAAATAATTACACGGTGAGTCAATTCATTTAACACTCACACTTTGAGTAAGAGAAGCATTTAACACTTTTATTGGTTTCCTTTGAAACTTTTTATGACTATGAGGTGATTTCCTTACGGCAGTGAAATCGAATTCTACACAATAGCTCATTAGTTTAGGTCAGTGCGATTTACAACAACGGAGAAAGGCAAAAAACAAATCTGCACTAAGAACTGATGAGAATGGAGAAGAAACAGTCTCAGAGTAATGAATGTTCACGAAACTCGTACAAAATGTAGAGTGCATGAATCTTTACACAGTGATATCAGTTTTATTCTGCCTCGTCCATTGTCTTCAGTCAATCGAAAAGATAAATATATCAACGTAAAGCCTGACACAGAAGTCCATCCATTCGAGTTACCACATTTCACAGCAGCCTAAGAAAAACAACTGGATAAAAGAGCGATATCAAAGTAAATAGATATCTGTAAGAACACGAAATGAATAAAGAAATGTTAACTCAGTGTTCAAAACTTTGATGACAACAGTATGTACATCTCCGTCGCTTTGACCGATTTTTTGCCACGTCACTAAGAGTCTTCAAACATTGATTACTATCATCTGAAGAATAGAAACCAGACAATCTTCATCTTCCTACGCAGTCCCAACCAATAGCTACTTCCTTGAGGTGGTGGTCGGGCTTGCATATCACAATGACCCAATGAGCAACACTCGCTAGAGCGCCTGCTCCTTGAAATCCTACCATGACAGAAATGTTAATTGGATAGTGGTAATAGAAAAGTAGCTACCGTAATGGTGTAAATTGCTCCGCCATAATGGTGGTCGGGCAGTCAAGTCATAGTGTTGACTGGATGATAGTGTGATAGCAGTAAGGTGTTTCCTTCCACTAATGACCAGCATCGCAATGCTAATCCTGCCTCCTCTATGATGAGGGTGGTTTAGGGAAGTCCATCCCTGAGAATAGCATACTTCCTTCTATCCAGCTGTATACCGGTACCGGTGACGTCTTTTCACAGTCGGATTTGGAAAGAACAAACTAAAATTTCAAATTTCTAAAAACCCCGTATGTGGCCGGTTTCATGCAAATGTCCTCACAGCTCCACATTCAAATCTGAAGCTGTGTGACAGGCTTCATGGGCTCTGTAATCACACAATTCTTTTCCCCTTTCTTGCACCCCGCAGAAATAACTTACCCTTACCTTTGACTCCTTCCTCGCCTTTATTTCCTGAAACCGATATTACGCTTCCTACAACTTCCCCAACCTCTCACTCAACAAATATTACCGACGATCCAAGTCTACACAGCATCATTATTAGTCCCCTAGAATCATGCTTTTAAATAAACATAGGACATTTCAACATCCGAATCTTATGTTGGATAGAATATCAGGCGTTGCTCACCAGAATCTTGACCTCTGGATGTTTGCTGTGTTTCTAAGATACACCCACGTGTGGTTATTCACTTGATCTCATTTTCCCAATGTAGTGAGTTTACGAAATTCATGTAACCAATTTCCGTATATTGGATGGCTACCCATCGTGGACTCGTTGGTATAGGTACAACATTAAGTTCCTAGGCAAAAGTACTCATCAACTGTCTATGTGCCCTCTGACTGAATGGTTCTATGGGAGCTAGGAACGGTCATGAAACGTGCCAATGCCTATTTTTGGCTTACGCCTACACCACCGACTGTAGTTTGGGTGATATAAAGGATGAGTTCTATGGAAAGCTATCACTTTCGTCAAATAAAGCAAAACGTTCAAATATGGTCATGGCAATAGGCCACTTCAGCGCCCAAACGGAAAAGCTGAATCGACCAGAAAGGCATTTTGGAGATATCTATGGAATCCCATGCCAACTAACCTGCAAAGGTGATCCTCTGTTTCAATTTGTACTTGTTGTATGTGACACAAAAGATATCATTTTTGTCTATGTATAAAAACAGAATGAACTGATATTGATAAGACTAGGGTTTTTCTATTTCCTCTTCGTTTCTTGAAGATTGCAGAACAAATAATAATAACGATGAAAAACATGGATACAACTGATAGCACATTGTTTATTGTAGGTGATGCTTTGGATGATGATGAAAAATTAACACAAATAGAAATAGAATAAAATGGTACATTACTGCATCTGTTGTGTAGTATTTCATTTGACAGATCAATAAATAATTGTTTGCTTCAGTCCTCATCCCTACCATTTTTATAATATTTCTTGGAAGGTCCAATTAATTCTTTCAGTATGTAAAGACAAAGTTTCAGGACTATCGACGACAATAATAGGTTAATCGCTTCATATATAAAAAGATGGTAGCTTTCTCCAATAAACCTGTCAGTGTTCTCATTGGGTCTAGCTGGTGTGGTTAGGTATAATTACAGACGATAAGCGGTGTACAAAACATTATCCAATAAATAATACTTTCACCATGTGTTATGCCAACAAACTAACTAACATGAAACTACCTTCTGTGAGTGCTCAGTGTCGATGGGTAGTATTTCATTTGAGTTAATACCAAACTCGGTGATCATTGTAGAACGCAAAATTGCCAGGTCATCTCCAACTTCCTTTGTAGTGAACTGATCGTTAAGTGACACAGCCTCTGTTTTTTTATCTCAGTCGTCTCGAAGTGACAAAAGTCAGTAAGTTTGTCTACATTATTGAACTTTTAGTGTTTAAATATGAAGATAATGTAGTTAACTTTATGCAGTTAAAGCTGGCAGATTCGGCTATCAGCTTACTTTAGTGCTAACCTTTTGTTTACTTGAGTGGTGAAATACCTAGTCCTAGTTTTTCCCTTCTGTATTAACAACAACTTATCTAGTCATCTTATAAAACTGATTATCTAGCTCCATTCTACCTATTAAGGTTTAGGATCCCTTCACACAACACATTTAACTAAGATCTCAAAACTACGTAGTTACCTACTCAACTGCACATAGTTTACTATATGTTCTTTACATTGAAGCATCCTCTATTTTTTTTTTGAATCTTTAGTTTGTCTTGCCTAATGGAAACGGATAGAGATGAACTTGTCTCGCTTATGCAACCACCTGAATCTGATTCATTTGTCCCCTCAAATCCAGAGTATAACAGCTTTTTAACGGATATGGGTACTGCAGCTTATAAAAACAGTCTAGCTTCAGAGAACTGGAATAGTTGTTTAAAGAATTCAACTGGTGAACTAGTCGATCTGGTTGCTATTGCTTGTCTGGATGCACTGTCCAAATGTAAGCATATTAGTTGTAAACTGACTCTATATAGGGCCTGATAATATTGCTCATCAACCTGAGGTCTGTGAAAAGAACTGCCTACCAAGCTCACTTTTGTCTATTTCAATCTCCTATTTGAGAAATTTTCAATCTTGTTGCATTCCAAAGGCTACCCAACTACTTTTGGATTTTATTTTCCGTAAGTTATTGTTTTGTGAATGTTATATTTTATTTTTCGTTAATTCTAAAACTTTTCTTCGTAGTTCAGAGCTAAGTGTAAGGCAGGGTATTCTACGCTTTCAGGTTCTTGTGTATTAGCATAGTAGCGGCCAAGTTCAATTTTATTCGCAGTGTTTTAACTCTAACACGGCAACTGATTTTCGGACTTCATTGGAATATTTGGAATGCAATGCATTTACGATTACAAGATATCTTAAGCTTGCATTTTTTTGTTCAAAGAAAGTATCCATGAATGGCAGGTTTTTTACTTTCTCCGTAGTGTTTAAATATAGCCATTATATAGCTATATGGATCCTATTCATATGAACCATATCCTTTGGTTGAAAAAGTGATATTTCTTATTCAAGCAAAAACACGTAGTAGCAGTCCTACGTGTTACGCGGCAGCTACTTATACTACAAGTTAATAGTTACTCCACTTCCCAGATTGCTTAGTTTTTCATGGTAGTCCTATAGTCTTTTGGGGAACTACAACTCTGGTAATCAATACCTGCGATCAAATGACGAAATACTGCACTGCAGTGCTTTATGTTTTGTCATACGGTTGTGGTCGTTAAAAGGAGAGAAATGAAGCGGTTGCAGGATTGTGACCGTATTTGTCTTCGTAACATTGTTCGCTTGGGTGAGATCACCGTGTCGGCGGCTGAGGCCAGGTTAGGTATAAGGTATTAGGCATGGAAGGCAAGTCAGTCGACATGGTTGTGAATACTCAGCAACCAAAGCGGTTTAAACATGTGTTGCTGTTGCTGAGCTACCATCTACCTCGACGTAACAAGCTAGGGAAGCCGGATTAGGTTGGAAGAGGGTCCAGGGTGGCTAGACTAAGACCTAGTCCCAGTGCATGAAGTCTCTGTTAATCTCAGCTGTATGGGGTGGGGTTGTTGACTACCTGGCTAGGGTCCTCAAGACGACAGGAACCAACGGTTAATGATTCTTGGTGGGTGACATGACTGAAAATCAGTCGCAATGTTAAAGATTTGTGCCACCATTTTACGTCTAGAGTTTGAACATTTTCACTAACCTACATTTTCAGTTTCCTTCTCCTCCCGTTCGCCATTGTCTACTTGAATATCAGTCTTTTTCTGACCCCTTGTTCTTTGTATGCTGCTGTGAAGTGTGTCATCTAGGATAGATGCACTTCTCTATGAAATTCTACGTTGATTTTTTCCTGTCTGTCCCTGAGAGTCTACATATAGGTTGGATTTCAGGAGACCCTAATTTTCATAATTCATTTACCTCCACAGAAATTAGTTTTTAATAATAATAAAAAGTTTAACATTGGTTGGCGACAGCAGTTACCTCGAAACTAGCTAACAATTTTAGAAGCTATCATCTCGTTGCTTATGGTATTGGAGTGAAAGAATTGTGGTCCCCAGTGCTGATAACCCCTTAAACCATCATGGATTCTATTCAGTGATCAAACATCTTGAGCACTATTCGATTTCTGTTAATTTTTAATAAATTGATTTTCAGGTGGTTGGCCGAATGCAGGGCTTTTGGCAACTATGAACGATCTTCTTACGTTTTGGATGAATCCTACCCCAAGTAGCGAGAATAATTTGAATCCATTTGAAAAGACTCATTTTCAGGGTTTACTGAGTCCAAATGGTAACAAAACCGACTGCCAGAATCCTACACTTCCTCCCTTAGCCATACCTTTAAGAAGCAGGAATGTTCCGCCAATAAATGCTCGTGGACGATCAACACCTTTCACTGCATTTGTGCCTTCTGACAGTAATTCATGTAAGTTGACAGATGCTTTGTCTAGATCATTGATGCGTTTAAAAGGTAAAACAACGTGTGTATCTTTTTTTTCCACTATTTAAATATTTCACTTTTCCAGTGAATAAAAACATGTCTGAATATTCTGTGTAGCAGTTTCTTTTTGCTGAGGTTGACCAGCAACTTGAAAGTTCTACAGTAACCTAAATTAACATTACTTATATGCATCACCACTTTTATATAATCCTTTTTCTCTTTCAAGGGATTTATTCGCTAAGCTGTCCATTCACGAATATATAGTGTCGAAGTTAGGACATTCCGGAGTAATTCCAGACCAATAACCACCGTCTTTAGGTTCATAAACTTACTGTCCGGGATCTACTAATACCACCTGGACGCCCAAACCCGGTTAGGCGCAGCAGATTCCAAACAGTGCCTCATTCTTTGAAATTCAAAACTCAGACTGCAACTTTACCACAAATCTCCAACATATACCGCTACAACCAGTCGTTTTGTCCCAAAGCTTCTAGAAAAAACACATGAACCAATGTGTAAACATTAGATTGGTTGAAAAGACAAAAACCAATAGGATATCCAAACCTAGAAAGGCTTGGGAATAACCTAAGCCACTGTATACATATGTAAACCATCGTATTGTGTCTATATTTTCACTTTACATTACTCCTGTTTTCTTACAGCCCTTTTCCTTTTTCGGAAGAACTGAGCAGCGACCAAGAAGGTATGAATTCTAAAGGTTGCTGTTTAAGCGTCTGAAAGCTGCTACCTTCAGGTGGTAATCGAGCTTGTTTTTCACGATGACCAAACAAGATATGGTGGTGGAGCGCTTGTTCCCTCGAGGTCCTACCATACCAGAAAAGGTCTTCTGGGATAGTGGTTCAACAAAAAGCAGCTACCCTTACTCTCAACACATTCTTAAACAAAGAGGTGATGCATTGTGGTGGCTTATATCGGTCATCAGCGGTCTGTGGGTGGTCCGAGACCCCAGGACATATATCCAACTATATCTTCTATAATACAGGCCAATTGTCGTGACATGAAAAAGGCCGTATGTGACCTCGTCTCAAACCGTTGTCCCCTGGGCTCTGCGGTCACAAATCGTTCCCTCTTTAAGGACCCTCAAGTAGACCTAGCCTTCCACTGTATGGGCGACTACTGGGAACTGCCATCACCCGCACAACTCATTGCTCAAATTCCCTCACACCGTTATCCACGCTCCTTATCTTTCTTCACACCTGTGAGTTAACAATCATACATCATCTTTGACTTTTGCTAGTTCTGCCTGCAGCTTTCGACAACTATCTGAATCGACACCTTAAACCATACTTCAAATCGCACATTGGAACCTTCAATGTCCGCACCCTCCGTCAAATTGGCTAACAAGCTTGATTGGTCGGGACTCCAGCAACGTGGACCGTGGGTGTGTGCTGTCTTTGTGAGGTACGCATATAGAACCCAAGTGGGATTATTCACTTAAGCTCTCCCAGCCAATATGGTGAATGCGCGAAATTGATCCTTCGAGTTTCTGGAGATTTGACGGCTAGTTCTCGTGATCCTGCAGGTGTGGGCATGGCATCAAGCACTATGGCGGAAAGGAAGCTCATTATTAGACTGGATCCCAGTTGACAGTGTCCTATGCGCTGTCCGGCTGAATGGCATAGTGAGAACTGAAAGGAGTAGTGAAACTTGCCGTTGTTTCTTTGTAATCACTGGTTATCCCAGTCTTCAAGAAAAGTGTGGAATCCTCTTGTGATAACCACAGGGGGGAATCAGCCTGACGAGCATAGTGTCTAACATTCTAGGTTCTATTATCATTAGATGCCCGAGTGGAGCTCTGGAACAGCAAGCCTGAGAAAATCAGGCAGGCTTCAGATCTGGCCGTGAATAACGTGTCGACCAGATATTCACATTCCACCAGGTTCTGGAACACAGGCACGCTTACCGACGCCCGACAGTTTGCTTTTGCCAATATTGGATTATCTGTTTATTTCCGGGTGTACTGTTCTGGCTTTAACTCTTTTTATTACTGTGTAGCTCTGGGATATTGGCATTATCGTTATAATATGTAAGGTCTCAGCTCTTTGTTCACGGTTCCTTTCGTGGCTTCGACCATATTTCGTGATGCCTCCTCGTGAGTAACGTAGAGCACCGGTGTGCGTTTCCGGATGAGATGTAAGTCAGTTGATGTGGTTGTGAACTTTCATCAACTGAGATATGTCGACGTTTGTTAAGTATGCCTTACCACAGTATCGATTCAGGTTGGAAAAAGGCTTTTTACGGGCGGACTGAAACGGGACAGCAATGGATGACGTCCGTGACTGATTGTTTGAGTCATGTATGGCGATGCAAGCTCTCTGTTTGGGGTCCGCGGGACAAGAGAAACAAGTAGTTGCAGACTCTACGTGTTATGGCTCAACGGTTGGATTTGGTTCAGATATATACACATATCTTCATCTCAACCGGTATACTTTGTCTCATTATCTGCTCATTCTTCCTTCTTCAGTTCTACTACTATCTACTCCGTTTGACCTAATTTTCTTTCCTTCTTCATCTTCTGTCGCCTTGTTACTTGATGTGCTGGTATGAGGTATGGCAACTTGGACCATATGCAGTAATGCCTATTTCTATGTTGATTTGATGGTGATGCGTTTGCACACATATATACAACTCAGGTTATGCTAGGTAGCCACTACAAGGATATGACAAGGAAAAACAGGGTTACAACAAGTGGCCACATGGTTTTAACAATGCATTTGCGTGCGAGGTTCTACGTCGGTTTCGTCCACCTGCATTTCGTGTATCCGTAATCTTCATTTATCTAGTCGTATACAATCATTTTAATCAGAGTTCGCTTACTGCAAAAGCATCCATAATGCTAGGCTTAGTCATATAATGTATTTCTTTGTCTTCATGAAATTAGGGTATTCATTTTCGCTTGTATTTTCATTTCCGTTAGTAGGTGAATACCAGCCTATCTCACCAATTGTTCATTTTCGAAGAACCCGTACTAGAATTTCTGATCCTGAACGTAAATTTGAAAATGTAAGCTTGTTTCACTGTTCTTTCTGTTACTCTTGTCTTAATTCTGTTACCACCACTGTGTATACAGTGTTTGTATTGCGCAAAAGAAGTTTACGGTCAGTTAGCGTGTATATCAAGCGAGAAGATAGTTTACTAACCTTCAACTCATTTATACTTTCAATAACTAACAATGAAAGGAAATGTGCTCACTACGGTCACTTTCAAATGTACTTTGTGTTACGGGTCAAATGACGGAATGTTTGACATATATTAGCTGTATTATACTCCTTAAAGGCGATAAAGTTGTCATTCGTTGTTGTTCTTAGGGTTTACAATTAATTTTATTTTTCCTAAGACGAAAAGGAATATTTTTGCACACTGCTTTTCTGGGTGAAGCACGTAAGACTAAGTAGTACATGACAAGTATTTCTCAGAGACAATTAATTCTTTCTCATCGTAAGTAGAAATGTAAGGCACCTATGTTTAGTATATTTTTCTGTGAGCATTGCTGAGAGTGAAGTGAGACTTAACTTTGTTCAGGTAAATGTTTTCATTTGTTCTCATCCTTTCCGTGTAAGTTCTTATTTTACCGTATTAGTTCCATTTCCTAAACAAGTTCACTTAATCTCTCGTTCAAACTCACTACATGTTGCATTCAAAAAATGTGGTCACGGCAGGATTCAAGCTACCTTCAGTTTACTGGCGCAGTGGTCTACCAATTGAGCTACGAGACTCAATACCAATAACAGCAGTCTTCCTAACCACGACTATCTCAGGTAGTTCTACTGGTAAAAATGTAACTCGTACTTATGAAAGAAAAAAATAACGACAGACAGTTAGACTGCACAGTTGAAGTCATGTAACTTGATTTGCTTTTAACAGATACTTAGCACATTTCTTTTTGGAACTTAGTGTGCCGATCATCTATACACGAAATGAACAGAATTACACACACACCGTAGCAGATGTAATTAGAAATAAGTATTAAATTGTTACTGTATGGTTTTTGGCACCTAGATAATGGCCATAAACCGATGAACTTGTAAAATTCTAAACACTGACACGAAATTGTACTAACCACAGAAGTTAAGTCCGTCGACCACTTTGTGCACCTTTTCTGGCCGAGGTAACTTAAATACGTTTTGTGTCACCGTCTACCTCGACACCCGATGGTGAGTTATAGGAGGCTCTGGGTGATCAGATCAAGAGTTGACATGCGTTTCAGTTCTGTCTTAGACTGTTGCTGTGAATTGCCTAGGGAGGTGTAGATTGTCTGGCTGGTTCCTTCCAGATGATAGGAATCAGTGATTGAAGACTCTTGGCGACACGGCAGAAAACTGGTCGTAGTGACTTATTGACTTTCTGTCATCTTCACTGTCTTGAACATTTTGTTAGCCTTCCCATTTGTGTTCCGTTCCCCTTAATATCACGTATGTCGCTATGACGTGTGGAAACTTGAGACAATGCACTTCTGTCCCAGGTTCTATGTTGATCTAGCTGCCTCTTTCGTTGTTTAGACTGGTTGAGCACTCACACTCTATTCATTCGCATATCTTTAAAAAACACTACGTTATATCCATTTTTTCTATATGATCTCGGAAATTACTCTTAGTTTCATGTTTGCTAGCTAAGTGTTTGCTTTTTATAGTTTACTTCGTGCATATTTGAAATACTATTTCATGCACAAATCACGCCTTTCTTCATATTGATCACTAAATTAAGAAAGGAGTAGAACTGGTGTAATTTCATTGTAGTATGTAGATATAACTGGAGCTCTTTAGCATAATAAGCAGAAAAACGTTTTGCTATCTCTTTCAAATTATTCCGAAAATCCCATTTTGGAATGAACTTCATGCAGTTTTTTTGTTCAAGAGAAGATGAAATGTTATTTTAACTTTCGTCATGAACGTTATAGGTAAAAGGTGGCACCCCAATTCAGAATGGTAAATCACCTAGAAGACATAGCGGTTCACAGTTATTACCTGAGTAAGTTACCGTGCAAATTTATTTCTTATTGTATGCAGTGAATTTTAATCTTTGAAGTTAACAAACAGGGTTCTAGAATATGAAATAAGTGACTTTCGTAAAGAGATGGACAGTTGTTTTATACTGTCATGTGATTTCTCATCAATATTCACTTTCAGTAATCAAATAAAGCATTCTTTTTCTTCAGGCTAAGCACTAAATTTCATAAACCACCATTCCTAACTCTAGCTGCCTATATTTTCACCGTTATTCACTTGGAGTGACTTTGTAATGATAAATTCTATCGCATTTAAGTTCATTTATGCGAGTTTAATTGAATAAATTCTGTTCAAATAGAAACTGTTTGATACGCTTTTAGAAGCTTCTGATTTCATATGGTAAGGTGTAAATAGGGATGGGTGAATTAACGCAAGCAGACAACTATCACATGTTTCCGAGGTAATTTTGAAAACTATGGTTAACATTGTTGCGGTGATGCTACTTATAAGAATACAAATAATTAGTATATCGGGCGATGTCGATGGGAAACGAAATTAAAGTTGATGTTCAGTAGGTAGAGTTTCTAGAGGAAGAAACGAGAAACATCAAAATGAAATACATTAAACTTTGGTGAGGATTGATCTAAGATTGAAACAGTTCATGCAAATGGTATCTGTATTGGAGTAGAATATCTCTTGACTTTCTGTTTCTTTCATGCTTGTTTTGCTTACTTATAACGTGAAAATCTTCATTTAGATACTTAGAAAAAAACAATGTGAGCAAAGAAATATTTCTTTTCAATAAGTTCCTCATCGATGGCTCTTCACTAATATGTAGTATTTTCAGAACGTAAAATTACATGCCAATCTAGTAGTGAGAGTTGTTTAATAACAGGTTATCAATCTCAGTATCAAGAGGGTGATAATTAATCAGGTAATCCAGGCTGTAACTAAGGCATAGACTAATTATAGCATAATTTTTTGTGAAATTTCAAACGGGTTGCTATAGTTGATATTTCGTATAATATTAACTAACACAAAGGGAAGTGAAAATGAATTGTTACGTCAAATAGTCAATTGTTGACGGTAATGAGAGACAACAGGGGGAAGAACAAAATGGCTAAAACTGTAATGATGATGATAATAACAATAGGAATATTAAAACATTTTTAATCATTTGTGAGATGAATAAAACGAAGGGTCTTGTTTTAATAGTTAAGCTATACAAAATGGCCAAGGCTCACATGGTTTTTTCCCCTACTAATATGTGGTCTTATAAGTAATACCATACCACGTACGTTGTGTAAACTAAGATACTGATGTTTGATTTTGCTCAATTGACGTCAATATATTTTTGCCAGCTGTGATTTCATCCACCCCTACGCGTATCATTTGTAAAGTTTATTATCTTCGGTTCATTTTGTTTGTAATTTAAGGGCCATTCTAGCAACGATCGAAATAACCAATTAGGTTTCTCTATTTCGTCTGGAAAGACCGATTTTCATAAAATGGAGAATTCCAATTGGTTATTTCAGTTGTTGCTAGGGTAGCCTTTAAAGTCACTCGGACTTTGATATGAAACGTATTCCTAAACGGTGAGTCAGTTGGAATCTACTCCCACTGATATCTAGGTTTTACTGTACAGATCAGAGTATTCTAAACACGCGACACCCTTTTTTATCCATTTTGGTCAAGCCTATCGTTTGTTTCGTCAAATAAATTCACTAGCTATATACCACGGATATTTATCGTCTTACATGCAAGATCACAATGACCATTACAAAAAAGCCATGCCATAGTTAACTTTAAAATACACAGTGGTGATGCATAAGGTACTGCAAATTGGAGAATCCAGATTATTAAGAAGACGTAAACCATGCTATTGGTCAAAATCATTGCTTGTATTTGTAAACCAAGAAATAGGGGCTTCGAGAACTTTCAAGGTGGGAACGAATAAATGAATATAAACAAGTAATAATAGCTAGCAGGTTAAGTAACGTGTAAAAGAATTAACATCGAATTTATTGAAGTCATTACCTGAGTAAGTAAGGGGATTGTGCAGTCAAAATGAAATATGACCAAGTTCAGTCACCCCGGTTGGGAGAGAATAATCACACACGTTTTCCGTATACATGAACATTTTATCTTAATGGTAATTCCCTCTGCCACATTGAGTAAGCTGGGCGTATTTTGCATGTTTACGAATTTTAATGGTTACAACTAAGCCTTATTGATAAATGAATCGGTTCATACCAAACATGATCATAGATGGAAAATGTTCTATGGCAGCTTCACTCTTCATTAGAAAGTGCACTTCACCCCTGTTACGAATGCTTACGCAGAATTACTCTCTCGTATCAACTAGTAAGAAAATGGTTTTTAATTTAAAGCATATGAACTGATTGTGAGTGTGAAACTCATTTTGTTACAGTAACTAAGTGACCGTCATATAATGTTTTAAAACAGATTGTCGCTGCCATATACTTCCATCCTTCAAAAATGCTGATTAAAGTAAAGATGAAGAGGAATGTCATATGTTGCGATTAGAGACGTATTCACTCAGATGTTCAGATCACGATTGACCCTATTCAGTTACTGCTTCAGCTACATTGATTGATCACTGAAAGGTAACCAGTTTCATGTTGTGTAATTCCACGTAGTGACCGAATTCTATCGATCAGCTTGCAGTGTGATAACCAAGATTCAGCATCATAATGCAATTTGGTTGATATTATTTCGAGGCAGTTGTCAGAAAATCCTTGACCTATATATCGTACGTGTTGGCACTCGTTAGCAAGGCGTATCTGAATTCGAATACTGCACTTAATTATCGTATGGATCTTATTTATGCATTACATATGGTCTGTAATAGGAAATATTGGTTGCGAATCATGTAGTGGTGCCGATAAGCTACTAGTGTACATTTATTTTCACTTTTATTACTGCTAGATGTCTCCTCAAAATATACTCCCTTACCTTTGTATAATTACCTATCAAGCAGCTACTCCGTTTCAATCTTTAGTCATTCTATTAGCATATACATTTTAATCAACAATTAGCCTTCTATTTTAGTGATTTTTATCACTCTCATTTCTAGTGAATCATGTTACTTAGACGAATCGATAGCGAACAGTTATCCCACAGTTTCAAATAAGTTGGCTGTTCCTTCACGTCCAGTATACTCAAAATGTGTTTCATATTATCTCTCTCGTCGATCATCAGTTGAAAAGATCATCAAATATCGTTGGCCTATTATGAATAGTTACGACTTAGCTCTTGCTTGTCAGTTGGCGTTGCTTTTCTTGCCTCCCGTAATTTTTTCCCGGTTAAGAATGATGACTGATATTCTGCGTCGAGTTTTATCAAATCATGAACATCTGGCCGTATGGTTCGTGAACAGCGTTTCGCCTGAAGATTTTGATGATAATCCAGAAAGCGTGTTAACATCTGACAATTCATCATCATTAGAAAACACAATGCACGTGGTAGGTTTTTCGTAACTCTGTTTCAATGCTATTGTTTTCAGTTGTTTTTATTTACAAGATCGTACTTCAAGGTAGGAGCATAATTTTTCTGCTCCAGTGGTATTGGCAGACCCCAACACCAACATCTTGTTTAAATGACTGTGCACGTCTGCAGTGTAATTTATGCATATATTCCCAACGGATATATTACGCACGCCTAACTGACAGCTAACTTCGTACTCAACAGCCACCGACTGCAACCCGGGACGAATGGAGAAGAGTTGGATGGGAGAGTTTATTCCTCCAAGTACGTCAGTCGATTCATTCAAAAACACGTGAGTATACATGCACGTAAAATATGACGTCCGCAAATTGAGACATTGACATAGTAAGAGTAAGGATTACCAATCAGCGAGTTACATTACAATGGGGGCAGAAAATAAACTACCAGTCAATGCTGTAAAAGTTGTGTGAAAATGACAAGTTAAAAATGTTCAGACCAATAACAATGTTTTATGCGAAACTGGGGCCTTACAAAAATTTACTAACCATTTACAGGCTCGTGATGAGCTATCAAGCCTCCTTCTTTTAGAAGGGCTAATCGTGCTGCGTTGGTGGAGCAGGGTTTAATCGTCTGATCCACTGATTGACGATCAACTGTTTAGGCGATAAGTTACAGGCACAGCACATCAGAAATTTCATCAGTGCTTTATTGTTTCTCTATTGTCATCATTTTGTATACTATGATTGGATTCTATCTTCACCTGTCTTACTTGTTACACCTGAAAATAGAATTCCTGGATAAATTTAGTACTCATTCTTCACTTGCTTTCATTTGAAAAGCCAAGGTAAGGGAATACGTTTTTCAGGCGTTCTTTTCAGTAGACTCAGAGACAGTTGTGCAGAAATAATCCGAACACAAACCAATAAATTCAATGTTGATTTTTTAGTTTGGTGTTTCGATACGTTTTCGTGACTCCGAATTTCGGTCATTTGTATTATGTTTGTTAGTGAAGTACTACATGAACTTTATTATGCAGTTCTTCATAAATGCTTTTGGGATCAAAGTTAGCTGATATCCCAATCCCAACATCATCTCTGAAAAACCTTGATTTTATGGAATAGGGATCCTCATTTCTTATGTTGTCTGTACTTGGCTTCTGAAGTCGATCTGTTGCGAAAACACAGCAGTTCGAAAAAACTATTTCATGTGTACATCGTTAGCATTAGTAATCCTTTTTGAAATGCTGGAGAATATTTGTAGCTCAGGTGGATGATCTTGGTTGTATTGTGTTCTCAGTGTGAAGTTAGTGCTGATGATGTCGTCTTAAAAGACAATGAAAGTTCCACAACTAAAAAAACCCAGCTCAGAGAGCACAATACAACTGAGAGAGCATTAGTAATCCCCTGTCTCTTCCTGAATATAGAACCCTCCATCCTTCCTGGAACCTTGTAGGGAAAGCATTACCAATGAACCCTTTGAAAGTAATCTCTTATATTCCAACTCGAGATTTTAAACCACCCACGAAAAATATTCCAAACAATTCGAAAATTTTATGTTGTGTATTTATCATTTAATTTCCTTTGCTGTGTGTATCTACTATTATTTCAGCAATAAGGGACATAACCTTTGCTTCCTCTGACTTCACATGTATTGACCTACTCCATGAAGAGCACTTAGTTGACTTTGTCTACGTAGACGATACTGACATGTTAAGTGAGAACATTGACAAACTTCAGGGTCTCGTAAACGCGTTGAGCAGGAATCTGAGTATGTTTGGCTTGCGTCTCGAACTCATGAGATGCGATATGATGCTCAGGACTGGTATGCACACTGGTTCCTAGTTTAAGAAGATGAGTTGACCGTTTCACCTATTCAGGGAGTTGTATCATCCCCAATAGACTTGTCTTTGAACAAATCTCAGCTCGGATTCACTAGACCCATTTTCCACCTCGCGTTATCTCTGGCATCAGCGAGATATCTGACTACGTATTAAAGGACGGGTGTACTGCACTGCGGTCAGGTTTTGAATACAGGTGTCTCCATAGCATCACTCACATATGTTGGAGTCGTCACGTGAGCAATGTAGAGGCTAGGAGTGGAATACTATGGGAGGAAGACAAGTTAATCGACTAATTTGTGGACCTTCATCCACTATGGTGGTTTAAATGCGTTTCGTGCATTGATCACAGTTGCGCAGATGTATTTACTCCTTAACATCTTCTAAAGCTTGAACATTCGCACTAACCGTTATCTTCAAATTGTTTATTCTCTCACACTTTCATTTCTTCCTCATATCATCTCCTCCATGTCACCCTCGGATGCCCAACTCGTTGTTTCCCCTTTGGATTCAACTAGACGGCCTGGCGCGTGATGTCACCGAATGGTCTTCTCAGTGTATGCCCAATTCATCTCCACTTTCTTCTGCATATTTGTTGAGCTATAGGTTGTTGATTGGTTCCTTACCCGGCAAGAATTCCTTGTTGCTTATTCTTATTATTCTGGCCATCTGATCTTCAGTGTCAGCGTCGAATCAGCGTAGGCGGCAGCTGTTGATGACTGTGTGTAGTTTGTTGGAAATGCTCTTCCTAACACACCAAGTTTCTGAACCATATAGAAGCACTGATTTATTTGACTGAATTAGTGTTGAAAATCCGGATGTTGTTCTTTATGCTGCGTACAGTGCAGTAGATCTCCACACTGATTTCAGGTAAATGAAGGCCTGTCTTGCTGTCTTTCCGATCCTGGCTTTGACGTCATCTGTGCCACATGTGGTTGAAACGATGCTACCCTGAGTAGGTGAGAGAGACTACTTCCTTTAGGTTTCTCCCTTTCATGGTGATTGGAGCTTGTTTGCGATGCTGTTGTTGGTTGGGTATCTTCATCACCTCTGTCTTCTCTACGTTCACCTGAAGGAAGTCCCGTCTTCGCTGCGCTGCCTGTTCTACCTACTTGTTAGTTTTTACCTGTAAATCTTCGAGCTTGTGCGACATTAGACATAAATCATTGGTGGCGAAATCCAAATCTTCTGGAATCTTTTCATCGGTCCAGCCAGCGTATGCCCATCTTCACGCTCCTCACGGTTTGCTGCATGATCCGGTTCAGTCGACCACAATCAAGAAGATTATGGGTGATAGTAGATAGCCTTGTCTTACTCCTGTCTTCACTTCAAAGGCATCATTGAGCTTTCCATTGGCATGTAGCATCATATAGCATATAGCTATTGAATGAGAGATCCGGTTGACTGCCATTCTATGCTGTGTTCTATGATGATGCGTAGCATAGCTTTTCAATTTGATCCGCACATGGTTTGTACATTCGGAATCCAAGCAGCCAGCCTGTTCCGGTCGTAATTTTGAGTCCAGCTCATTTTTTAGTCTCTCCAGGATGATGCGGCATAATATTTTGCTTGGGGTGGACAGGGACATGAACATGATTCTTTGAGAGTTTGATAAGACAGCCTTTCTTCCAATCAATGTGCAGGTACCTTTCCTTCCTTCCAAACCTTCAGTAATAGTGGTGTGAGCACGTTCGCTGTTGTTTCTGAGTCTGTTTTCAGTGCTTCTGACTGAATTCCATCTGGTCCTGCTGCTTTCCCGGATTTCAGCAGCTTTTATGGTGTTCAGGACTTCACTTGTACTTTTGTTGGAGGGCTTGTGTTCACTGTTAGTTCTACGGCTGGGCTGCTGGTGGTATTTCTAGACGAGTTGCAGGTGGTGGTGGTCGATTCAAGTGGTCAACCCATTGTTTCTCCTCTTTGGTAGCTAAGTTTCCTTCATTATCTTCCATTGGTTTCGTCTGTATTAACCTCTTCCCAGATAATAACCTGGTTTTTTGATATAATGTTGTCAGGTCTCTCTCTCCTACCTGCAGCCTGTTCTGCCTCACTTGCAAGTGTGTCGTAGAAGTGTCTTTTGTCTTGGCGTGCACTCTTCTTCACTTCTTTGTCCAGTGTAGTGTTTTGTAGGTTGTATTCAGTTCCTCTTTTCGTTGTTCATCCTTTCACTGTACTGGTTCATCTTCTGCTTCACCATCTTCCTCTCCCTCTCCCTGCTCTGTCAGCTTCCATTTGTTTGTTAGGATCCATTCGTTGTCCTCTTTCTTCTTCCTTCCTAACACGGTTATGCAGGTTTCCTTCCACATCTCTTCCAAAGAGTTCCAGTGTTCATTCACACAGGTTACTTCACGCATGTTGCTCAATGTCTCACATTTCTAACAGTTCAGTTTCTGCTCTGGATGTTGAACTTGAACTGTGATCTGTCTACCACCGACTTCTGTGAAGGTTCTCAACTTGATTTTGAAGGTAGGTTCCTTGCGATAGATAGTGAGTGGTGTGAACCCACATCTGCTCCCCTTCTTGATCTGATCTTGTTTGCAGTAGTCTGCATCTCCACTTTCTTGAGATTGAAATGAAGTCTATGTCGTTGTCTTGTGAATATCCTTGTGTTTGTACACAGTGCGTCCAATCACCAAACCATTAAAGGTGCAGAAGTTTGCAAACAGTTCTCCATTCTCGTTCATTTCACCGAGTGCTTCTCTACCCATGATTGGTTGTCTTCCTGTGTTGTCCGCTCGCAGTTTGGCATTCATGTCACCCATTAGGATTTTGATGTCATTATCTGGGATAGGGTCTTGTTTATTACTGGTTGAAGTTGTCTTTAGAATTCCTCCTTCTTCTCTTGATCTGCATTATTTGTAGGTGCATAGTGTAGCATTGTATGATTGTGACCTTCCCTCCTTTTGAGTTAACTCTTGCTGTCACGATCCTGATCGTGGAGGAGATTGGTCCTTACTGTATGAGAGAGAGCCTTCGATGCAGTTGGGGACATCATAATAGCCACTTGGAAACTCAGTGTGCTCGTGGTTGTCGTCTGGGTGACAATACCGGAGTAGATTAACGACGCTCCAGTTCATAGTTTGCAAAGTCTACTTCCATTCCATCTACTTTCACATACCCGTAGCGCTTCTATGCTATACCTTCTTATCTCATTTGCAATCCTGCCAGCCTTGCTAGGTTCAAACACTGGCGTCATTTCGCCCTCCGATTTGAGTGATGAATAAGTTTAATTTTATTTTTTTATATTTATTTAGTGCTTTGAAGTTTCTTTAGCGGTTAGATTGGTTTTACGGGTTAAGGTTGCTAGTTTTATGCCCAACCTTACCTCTCTATCCGGGCTTAGGACCGGCTAGTAACTAGTGAACTAGTTACCTAGGGGAGGTACTGGCGACTAGTACTGTTTGGTCCTGTGAATCTTTATCGGTCTTTCTCTGTTCTGAGATGTAAGTGAAACACCAACTTATTACTTGATGATATAGAAGTACTACGAAATCAGACTTCCGCACACGTTTTAGTGCTACTACAATTATCGTAAATTGAGGTACAATTGTAGTTCAAACATTGAATGGAGTTCACTGAAATTTAGGCTTCCACTGTTGTAACCATTAACCCACATTTCCACGTCTAGTACATTGCTTTCCATGTAGTTGTTATATTATTTCACATGTATTGATATGTTGAGGTAATAGTGATTTTTGAGCGTAAATTTTTTTCGATAATAAGAATGGTATGTTCTAGCCTTGTGAACGAAGACATGAACGAAAATATTTATTACTTTTCACATTGTTTCCATTGGTTTATGACTTCTTGGTTTCTGTCAATTTCCGGAGATAACAGATAGTATGCATATATGCCTGACACTCCGCCCTTTACTCAGGTTTCACTGCATGTTCACAATGCTAAAATGAAAATAAGTCCACAAAGTGACCAATCCGTATGAGGCTCTGTTGACTGAACTTTGACAGTCGCAAGTCATATGTGTGTGCATACTCTCTCTCTCTCTCTGTATATATATATATATATATATATATATATATATATATATATATAATTTTGATTTATACCCTAAGTAACAATGAACATGTGTATCAGTGATGTTGGATATAATCGTTTTCTTCAAATCAAGTCGCATTCCCTTTTATTTATGAATTGAATTTCTGAATTTTTTTCTTGATCTTAGACATCAGCTTCTAAATCATCATCTGACAATTGGTGTTTAATAAGTATAATTTGATATTGTCGTATGTTCTTATGATGAATTGTGCGAAAAGTTGGGTCATACATGTGTCATTCTATTAATTTCATAATTCAAGTGATTGCCTCTGTTACTGTAATGTTAATAGAAACAAACTGGTGGACGTGTGAAGTAGTGTAGATACACTTCCATCTACTGTGACAGGATTTTTTCTACCTTGTCTCCCAAGTTTCTGACTATAAGGTTTGTACCTTTTATTGATTGTTTTGCGTTCACATTATAGATGCAAATTCTATATACAACGTGGGTCTACATGGTGAAATTTCGCCAAACTGTACTCCCTTTCATAAGTAATAGTGTATCAATAGCTGTTTTTTATGTGGTGCGCGCATTTCCATTAAAACTACCCAACATACTTTCTCACACCTAAGGTTTGCTATAATGTATAGTATTTATAACTTCAAGTCCATCTCAGTTGCATAATCTGAGATCTGTGCAGTAGGAGGGTGCTTGGTGGTGATTTATGCAACACGACAACTTGAGATGTGCTTGTCTTTTATATGTGATGGAAAATAAACGTCACGTGATATTTGTTTTCGCTCCTCCTTCGCTTCTTTTCTGTCATGTTATTTTCTGTTTAAGATTGTCAAAATGTTTGGTTCACTGCTTCTACGTGTATCAAATGATTCCAGTATTGAAGACTCTCTCAGCACAGCATCTTCACGTATCCGTTGGCGGGAATGTCTTCTTTGTCTTCTGCTCTGCGATTCTGAAAACTTTTTATTAACGCCCCCTGCTAGTCTACTGTCTTATCTACGACGTGTAACCAACAATATGGGAAGTAACAATGTAGAAGCGGGAGAAGTAAATTTGGAAGATGTAAGTACACACAATCATGCTATAGTCAATTATTATTATGATGTTAAATCGGCAAAGAATGCTTTGGGTGTTTGAATGTCACGAAAATCCGATTCAATGTTTTAGTTCGATATTCTAAGTTATAACTGCAGTTATTCGATTCTCTTAGCGTCATTATACTAATTAGATTACATTCCTTTGAGTCTGTGTAAAGATATCTAACTGTTGATCTTTTCTGATCATGTTCTATTTTATGTGCATCTTTTCTTCACCATATCAGGTAACCAACTCCTATCTTTATTCATTTTCTGTTGGTTTAGCTAATTGGAGTGTTTAGTTCAAGTTCGCGTACTGTGAGTAAGTCACTCAACATTCATAGTCGATTGGTCCATCGACCATCAGAATATGCTTCTTTACCAGCCTGTGTTCCATCGATCAGATCAGCATCAAATGCTGCTTTCAATTTCAGAAGATTAAATTCACTCAATTCTGGGGATGATTCACTTGAATTTGCATCGAATCCTTCTAGAAGCTGTAGAAACGGCAGTCTTGAAAGCTCTCCAAGTCGTATGGAAACTGAAAGTTGCCGGCGTAATTTTTGTCATGATAACGTCAACAGTGACAATCTGAGTAAAAGATCACGTTCTGTACATTGCATTTGTGGGGAATCCCCGAGTCATTTTGCACGTTCTGGACACGTAAGTGCAGAAAATTCCATAGCCAGTTCAACTTCAAGCATATCTTTCAGGTATGTCCTAATTACTAAATTAATGTCATATTCTGATATATATATATATATATATATATATATATATATATATATATATAGCCAGGACTTAGTCATCGCATCGGTAGATTACTGTAGGCCCTAATACGGTCGCGATTGCTTAAGTTTCAAACTCTAAATATAGTCATGTACTTATTGAGAACCGCTTTCACCATTATCACGAACTGTTGTGTATGTTTGTGCTCCGGAATCTAATGGAAGGTGGTCTGGCTGACAGTTACGATCTTACCTAGAACCGCCTGGTCAAAAACCTGTGGGTGTCACCCTTAAGTGTCTCTGCTGCCAGATACCGTTTCATATGACTGTTTCTTAAATAAAGTAACGGTCTCATACACATATTTCCTTTTCTAAACCTAAATCGAAAAAAAACTTGAGCGGAATAATCTTTTGTTTCTCCGGTTCCTTCTCACTTACCTACAACCTCATACATCGCACAAGAATTTAAACATTTCTTTAATATCGCACTTCTTTATTGTTATCTTAGTGAACGATTCCTTGTTTTACCATGTTTAAAGTCAACTGATTTGTTTTGTTTTCTTATGATTGAAATTCTCACAGTTCATTTAAATATAGATGTTTTGAATCTAGCGCCCATTTCTTAAGGAAGTTTGTTACTGTTAAGTAGACTGTATTGTTATTCTGTTAAGAATCTTAAATTCCTCGAATTTTTATGTTATGTACGTTACATGTAATTGTGTAATCTCTTAAGCAATAGTAACTGTAATTTATTTCAGTCTGATCTAGATCCAAAACGATTGGCTTTATTGGGCAATACGGCTCACTTGATTAAACTATTAAATCAAATTATTGATGACCGTGATATGAATCCACGCAGAAAAATGAAATGCCTTCAGGATGTAAGTCGAAAAGTACTCTTTGGCTGTTTTTACATTCTATGGTGTACAGATTGCAGGTTGTTTTTATGAGAAATTTTTGAATCCGAAATAGCTACTAGCATTAGTTATGTTTACCTTGTTATGTAGATGATGACATTTTATGCGTTATGTTGTATTTATTCAACTCATAAAATAATAAAAGCATAAATGCATAGACGTTATCGAATACAACAGATTTTTTGTTCATAAAAAAACCTTGGCCAAGTTTCATTTGACTAATAAATAAATTACAGTTAGCTCAGGGCGACGAATATTGTAAATATTTGAGTTCTTTGACTGTTGAAGAATCATTTTGTTTCGTTAAAGCATGGTTGTTGTCACTTCATTTTCATTCGGCAGTAAGTGAAGACGAATAACACTAACAGTATCTGCAGCGAATCAGATCATTTGTTCGTTGCATATATACTATGTATGAAGTACTATCACCTGTCCTGAATCGTTTACTAACGTGCTTACCGTTACAAGGATTGTAACGGTTATCTTAATCTGTTCTCGTAACTAATCGTGATCATTGGACGTACTACTATTTTACATTGTTACCCTTAGTGTGTGCCAAAGTTATCATTTGGAACAATATCTCCGATGCTTATTGACTTTGTTAAGTATTCGGTGATACGTCAGTGAATAATTGTACACTGGTTTCCGCAGAAGCATCTATCTGCACCTAAACGCATCCTATCTCCCTTTGATAGGACTCGCAATTATTATTCCCTTCCAAGGGAGCTATCATCTCCAAATAGCAGCACAAAGACGCTCTTCACCAATGTGCATCTTAGCCTGTTCGTACACAGGTAATGGCGGTTTCAACTCAATATTGAAGAAATATACCTATGCCCGCCGTTTACTTTCTTCCCGTTGTTGTCATTTCACAAAGTTTTTTTTGGCCTATAGTCTGAGTTTGTGCGTGATGTGAACAGGTTGTAAATAAAACGTAGCCTTTTCAAACTTTTCCACATACTGTCCTGGCATTGCTACTATACTCAAGCACCAATTTTTTCTTCTGTTCTGTATCAAGAAACTTTGATCATTAAGTTTTCCCCAATTCATAAAACTGAGTTTAATATTTTGTGAATGCGACCAGAACGATATATGTAGTGAAAACAAGAGTGATTTATGGAGTATTATGCGCTTTTAAGATAGTCGAAAGGTAATCAGTGACTCATAACAAGCAAAAATATGTTTTTAGAATAGACCATTATCTACGAAGCAGTCTGATACTCTGTCAGAATCGAAGGTAAGGAAACACTTCTCATCAGCACTTATCATTTTACTTGGGGATCCTAATCCCATTTGAATCAGTTTGTTCATAATCTGCAATGCTTTCACTTCTCGCTTACCTTATAATGACAGCTACCTGATTATATTTCTCATTCTCCTCCTCCCTGTTGGATAGTTTCGCAAATCTCATCCAGACGTGTTTTGGCTGCGTTTCGGTAGTGAAGAAACAGCATCGAAATACTTATCTCGTCTACAACGTCGTATTGACTCGCAAACTTATCCTAGTGTGTTTGAGCGAATTACAAACGTACTGCGTCGTCTGCGTTTAAGTCCTGTCAAACAACAGGATTCACAACAAAACAATCCTGGGCATTAATACTTCGGTAACTTGCTCAACAAACTACATTACTAATTAGATTACTATTATTTTTTTAATAAAAGATCGTATCTATTCATTTAATATTTTGATTCAGATAAATACATCAGTTTATTATTTTACTTATCTTTTGGTGCTGGATGTCCAATCATATTGAGTAGTTTTACAGACGGCAATGTGTAACCGTGCCTTCTTTTAGTGAATGATATGTAGGTTTCTCGATTCAGTGTTTACGTTAGCAAGCACCTCTATTTCAAGTAATAGATGTTTGTGAATCTGAAGACAAGAACCGTGGTCTGTCAATACCATCTTGAGGACACCGTGACCCACGACAATATGTCATCAACTGCCGCAATTACTGTCTTTGCGCGTTGACCAGGAATCACGAGAGCGTCTACCTATCCCTCTAATTTGACTGATTGTGAAATCGTGATCACCCAGTCATAACGTGATAATTTTACTCGAGGGTCTCTCGCTATCTTTAACCACTGTAGAGGTTTATGATCAGTTGCAATATGGAATCATAGATCAAAGAGGTACGATCTCTATTTATCAAGCACCCAAACTACCACTGGACATTCCTTTTCAATCGTTGACTACTTCTGTAGGTGTCAAGACACGGCTGGCATCCTCTCACTACTCCTTCAGTACGTCTCACAACTAGCCTTATTCCATAATCACTCTCAACAGTGGTCACAATTAATTGCCTCCCAGATATTGCCGGTTTTAAAGTCATCTGTCAGTCATTCAAAAGTTCCCTGGTGTCATCATACGTTTTCTATGCGTCCTCCATCCAAGCGAATTAAGGGTTAGCGAGTAGCGCTACTATCTCGTTGAGATTCTTAAGAAACGCAATCGAGACTGCTGCTATACCCAAGAACTTGTGCACTTCTTTCTTTCAGATATTCACTGAGACCATTTTCATCAACGTCTCTCAATTCCTCTGCTCGTCATGTAACACATTTCTCCTAAATATCAGAATTTCTCCAATTAATACCAAGTCCAAACGCAAAATAACATATAGAAACATATTCCATCGTCGGTATGTTTCCGGCGTGCCTCTCAATGCACTAGACACCCTTCCAATGAGCTCTTTCCCCGTCACCCACATGAAACACACATGACTACACCAAACACACTAGCAACTACCCATGCTCACACTCACACAACAAATACTTCAAACACCACACCTCAGCAACCATAAATGTCAACACATCACTCACAATCAATCGCCAAAGCACAAACATTCCTCAATCAAGTACAGTCGAACACAACACAAAATATCAACACCTTACATCAGTGCATGTCTATATGGCGTGCACCACACAGTCTGACATAGGCACCAACAGGAACACTGGCAACTCCAGCCAGCTACACGCACAGTGACACAGACGCCTTAACTAACACCGACACACACAATGACGCTGATATCGTGTGCCACAACTTCACAGGCACAAGCAAGCGCTCACCAGGTATGCTAGTCAGTGTCATGGTGACTCGAGTGTGCCAATGTGCATCTACGTGTACTGCATTGTTTGCGGTGTCAAGCCGACCGCTCGTCTTACAAATTGCTTGCCTACAGATTGGGGTAGTGACACGAAGAGTGGGTTTCTTCACTTTCGTCCTGGTGATCTTCTACCTGACTCTTCATCTTCTCATTGCCGCTACTGCTAGTGATGGCGATGGTGGTACCACTGTCACAATCTCTGATTGTGAATGTGGATTGAAATGTGTGGATTTGCGTTGATTTGACGTGTGGCATGCATAAGGAGTGTCGTGTGTGGCCGTGGGTGCTTGTGTGAGTAGGAAAGTTGCAGGGTTAAGTTCACAGCAAATGTTCTTTCTGAGCTAACACATGTGGAATTTATTTGAAGCTCTTCACTGGGAATAACGTAGATGAACATATATGTTCTTTAGAGTCGAAGTGACACCTCTGTTGTCGGATCTGTATCAGAGTGTGGTCGTTAAAAACAGCTATCTCAAACGACTAGCGCTGTTGTTATTTAGTTATTCCATATACTACGTTGAAGAACAGCCTCTTGGAATCAACTGTTTTACGAGTCAATACGATGTAGACAGACCAGTTCTCAATTCAATGACACAGGTGATCGAAACAAAGATATAGATAAGGAGAAATTTAAAAGTAATGACAAAGTTACATTTTGGTTCAGATGTAAAAATAACGATATGAGATGGAATAATTGTGGGGACAGTTCGCTACAGAAGGATTTTGTAAGAGCTTTCTATACTTCTAACGTTGATTCATATCTTTGATGTGGGCTAAGATATAGTGTTGTTCAAAACCCACTTATGAGCCCTTTAAGTTCAGCATACTGACACAGAATGTAAAGGAATACTCACCAGAATATTCGTATACCGTTTTTCGATAGCTCAGAAACTAGGTAACGTGAAATGCAGAGATATTTCTATGACATGGGATCACAGAATTAGGATATGCATATTAGGTTATCAACTTTTTCTTTTTTA